AAAAAAAAATGCACATTTGATGACTGCAGCGAGCTGTATGGGCACAGCTGGGTACGACTTTATAGGATGTTCATTCTACTCACTGGGGTCTATGCCTAAAGTCTGACTTGGGTTCATGTATAGGTATGTGTCAGCTGTGCTAGCTATTGGATATATTTAGACTAATTAAGTCCATTGGCAGAACAATTGAACAATTGAATGGGGGTGGAGGGCATGGAGGGCAGCCGTGGATGCCAGGGACAATGGGGGAGGAGGATGGGACATGGCAGAGGGTGGGGGATGGGGAATCAAGGATGGCAAAACAAAAGGCAAGGTATGCAGGACATAAGAATTGGAAAATTATTTTGCTGAGAACATGTATGTTTATGTGCTTGATTGAGCCAATTCACAGTGTATTTTGGATGGAAAAAAAAAATCAGAGGGAAGATGTCACAGACTGCATTGACAGATTAATAGTGGATATAAGAAGGTAAGGAATTATGATGTTAAAATTTCAAGTTCAAGTTCTAGGTCACTGAAAATGTTGGAGAATAAGAATAGCTGGAGCTCATTTAAAACGAGATTGACAGGGGCCAGCAAGTGGCATGGTGGTTAAGAGCGCTGGATTCCCACATGGCCGACTGCGGGTTGAGTCCCGGACCTGGAGGTTTGCTTTCTTGCTTTCCCTTCTCTCTCTCTCTCTCTCTCTCTCTCTCTCTGCCTCTCTCTGGTCAAAATTTAAAAATGATAATAACAACAAATGTAATTAAATAAATAAATAAATATTTTTAAAAAAATAAAATGAGATTGACAAATTTTCCATTAGACATTTGAATTTGAAGCAAATTAACATGTAAACATATTCATCAGGAGGTTGCAGATGTTTGACTAAAGTAAGGAAGTAAAGCTGGAGTTACTTTGGAATCAAGATTTATGCAAGGTTTCTTCATGAAGTACAATACTGAACAAGAAATTCGGAAATAGAAACTGCTTTTGAGGGACAATTATCCACAGTTTTCCAAAGAACTGCATAATATCACTGGGTAAGAAGTGATCTCACAAATTCTATGACTCTGTGGCTTACACTAAGTAATAACTCATTTTCATGTGTAGCCAATGCTGTAGTGATAGTATTGCAAAATGTGGGGACCAATGAAAACAGCATAATATTGCTGTGGACCTTACTTATGTCCAAAACTGCACCTGGACTATGGAGAATATAAATATATCATTTTTAAAGTGTCTCTGATGTTGAAGGTTTTGTTTTCAATCTATTTTGCTTTGTTTCTCAATCTGATCATCTGAAGGAGTATTGTGTACTTGTAATACATTCACCCATTGCTGTGCTCTAAGAAAAAAAAAAAAACTTGCTTCTATAAAGGCATAATTTGAAGACATTGAAATACACCCAGCAGTGTGTAGAGGAGTGAGCTGAAGCTCAGTTATAGAGAAATACATTAAAAATACTATGATGTTGGATTGCAAACTAAAATGTCTATAAAAAGTGCACGCTATCTGGAACATAATAGTAATAACTTCACAAGATTTAAATCATACATCTAATACACACTTTAAAATTGTCTTACTAATATATAAAAATGGAATAAAGTTAAAAAAAGAAAAGGATGATGTTATTGGTCTAATAATTTTGTATCTTCCTAAATATTAATGATGGATTCCATTTAATTTACCTCTTGGATCCTTTAGAGCGTCCCCACAATAACATATACAAAAAAATTTTAGTGCCTCTTTCATATCTTTGTTCCTGAAATTATAGATTAAGGGATTAAAGAATGGGGTTGCCAAAGCATAGAACAAGGTTACAAATTTCTGTATCCCATGATAGTCTCCAGAACCCGGACTAACATACATGACCATGACTGAGCCATAGAACATAGACACCACAGCAAGATGGGAAGCACAAGTTGAGAAAGCCTTATGCCTTCCTACGCCAGAGGACACCTGTAACACCGTGCACAGAACACAGAAGTAAGTGCCAAGGATATACAAGAAGGTGAGAAAAATTATGAGAGAGCTAATAATACCACAGGTCAGAGTAATCCCAGATACTGGAGCACAGGACAATGCCAGCAAAGGTGCCAAGTCACAGAGAAAATGGTCAATAATATTTGGACCACAAAAGGGCACCTGAGATATGAGGATCAAAGGAGTCAGTAACCAGAGAAAGCCACCCACCCAGCAGAAGATCACTAACCAAACACACAGCTGATGGGTCATTATGGTGGGATAGTGCAAAGGTCTACAAATGGCAAGAAATCGATCAAAAGACATCACTGACAGAAATAAGCCCTCCGCAGCACACATGGAAAAGAAGAAGTAGAACTGGAGGAGGCAACCAGCATAGGAGATGCTTTTGGTCTGGGAGATGATATTGGCCAACATTTTGGGCACATCAGAACTAACGTAGCAGATCTCCAGGAAGGAAAAGTTGGCCAGGAGGAGGTACATAGGTGTGTGAAGTTGCTGACTTGACCACACAGTACAGATGATGGATGTGTTCCCCATGAGGGTCAGGAGGTAGATGAGGGAAAGGACCAGAAAGAGGAGGATCTGGATCTCCCTGCGGCAGGGGAAGCCCAGGAGGATGAACTCACTCACAGACCCAGAAATATTGGTAGTCTCCAAGGGCCTCATTGGTCTAACCTGTGGAGGTGACAGAGAAAATATGAACCAAAAGAATATTTACACCACCTTTCCACTTCTTGGTAAAGACTTACTGTGTTTATTGTCTTCAATTTGTGTTTTATGAGATATCTTTGGGGAAGAATGAGCTATCATTTTTTTAAATGGCACTGAAGCAGTGTTTGTTCTTTTTGACCGTAGATCAGTCATTCATAGAAGACAATAAAACTGTTATGTAAGTATTGAAAATATTTTTTTTCTTTTTTTAATACGTTTAATCACTATATGCCAGTTTACTGTAACTTGAACTTACCCAACATGAATACACTTCACACCAATCCAGTTGAGGATACAAAACACATTATTATCAACAGATAACAATCCCTTCCTGTGTCCCATAAATGTCTTGCCTCTCTATTTTCTTCTTTAATTTATTTCCTTACACTCTACCCTTTCTCCTACCCTTTTCCCACATTGTCTCCAGAATCTATAACCACTTTCAATGCTTATATGTTCTCTAATCACTTAGTTCCCACCATGGAGTGTGGACAGTCAGTATATGTTAAGTGGAGACATACAATGTCTCTCCTTCATAGCCTGGCTTGTTTTACTCAGCAATAAATGGAAGAATGAGCTATTCTATCCATGTGTCTCCTTTTTCTCCCTAAATTATTCAACAAGCATTTATTTTACTTGTTATTGTCAGACCCTGCTCTGGGAGACATGGGAAGAACAATGAATTAAACAAGCAGCCCTTGGTCTTAATGGAGCTTATATCAATAACTTTTGTTCAAAGCAACTTCTAACTGTACATTTGTAACTCAAGAATTTTTACATACAAAGAGCTTAGGAACTTAAATTTGATTGGAAACAAGCCAAGATTTACCTTGGAACCTCATTGTATATCAAGGATCTGTTTTTACTTAAAGCGTAAATTTACCTGTGGCAACTTCATGAGAAGATTATGGAGTAAATGTCACCTATATCATGGTATAATCATTGACACAATAACAATGGGATATAACAAAAATAACTTTCTTTGTCTAAGATGTGATGATATTTTAATTTGGAAAAAAATAACAAAAGGTTTTTGGGATGGAGATGAAATTTGGCAAAAGAATAGAACTTTCCAAGGGCAATGGTGGAAGCAAATCATTACTAGTTTGGAATAATATGTAGGATAAGCTCTTCAGTGTTTTGACTAAGAGTAAGTGTAGTATAATAATAACACGAAAAGATTTTAATACAAGAAATACATGCTCAGAGAAGAGTCAAAAATAAAAGTCAGGGTTCTTACAAAGGAATTGTGATATATTAGGTCACAAAGGTGGGGCTACATGGCATAGAACTCACTACAAGTCCGACTATTCATACTTAATATTTAATCAATAAAAAACAACTTCTATGAGTTGAACTGTGTAAGAGTCAAATTATCAAAGCTTTATAGAAACAGCATTCGGGAAGACAATTCTGTACAGTTCAATAAAATAAACAGGAAATTGTCAAGAAGCTATTTCAAAAGCATAAAGAGAAAGTGGGAAGAGTTTGACCTATGTATGCAAATTAATATTAATAATGCATTTGGAAGATGTGCAAAGATAAAAACCAATCTCCCTTCTTTAAAATCAGCATCAGTAATTAAATGCTGCTCAAGGGGCAGAGGAGCGGAATAAGAAAAAACTACGTCACTTTCCATTTACCATAGATTATCTTCTAACTGGGATGCATCACAGGAGAAAGGGCCACGGTCCACTCTGAGGACCTTTCTGTTCCAAAAAGTCCACATTCTAGCTCTTGCCTTCAGGTGTGCCTCAGAACCCAGTTGGTCCCCAGCCTCTTCTTTTCTTTTGATTCTTTTGAACCGAAATAGTAAACTTTATGGGATAAGTGAACTGCTACTTACAGAGTTTTCCTCTTCCACAAACCACACACAACAGAAATGTTCGATGTTGTCATCTGTGTGAAAGAGAACTGTAAACTGGAGAGTGATTTACCCAAATTATTGCCAAAGTCTTGAAAGAAAGGTTTACTATTTTCCTCTCTGTGAGAACTACAATCCTTTTGAAGATGATCTGAAAAGACAAAAATGACAGTTTGACAAAAACACTTATCTCATGTCTAATAAGGCTTATATAATAGGAAAGCAGCTTTGTAAAGAAAAATAATGAAGAATTGTGTGTTTCTTGGTTGTATTAACAAATAAAACCAAGTGGATATTTAGACATAAGAGAAGTTACTGCTTCTCTTGCCGAACCCACACATACTAAATGCAACCCAGAAATGTGAAGTGTTAGCCCCATGTAAAGCACCTTTTGGTTCTTTTCTTTACAAAAATCCCATTTGAATTTTACTCAGAGAATAAAGCATGCTCATTTCCATTGCTCATTATTTATCCCTTTCATACCCTTAGAATCTGTCTCTGGAGAATTTAACCCCAGGAGCAATGGAGAAATTAAGTACATCATAGAGAACTGAATACACTGCACCTTCAGTGATTAACAAAAAAACACAAGAACATGCATACATGCATATGTGCACACATGTACATTCACATACAAGTATACACATTCTGAGCTGTTAAAATAATATTGTTCCTTTTAGAGACTCCTCTCCTAATCTCAATAAATTATCTCTTAGCTAACAAACTTTTTTTCACATAAAACAGAACAGTACCTTCAAACTTTCCTTAGCTTAGAACTCTAAACTTGGAGTTTCCTATTGGTGTTGTCCAAATCGCAATAAAGGGCTCTTCGACTAAATTCAGAATAATCCTATTCCCATATATCCATGAGCTACCCCTATCCATTTGTACAACCTCTGTAGCATTAAATATATATCAAACAGGAGAGATGACAGTAAAACAGGAAGGTAAGACATCAGAGTGCATACAATAAGGAAAAATCTATTTTCTCTTTAAGTCTAGACCACTAAGTCTCTTCACTTTCTGGAGATAGTTATGATTGTGCAACTCAGTTCTAGTCCACAGAAAAATTAATACTCTTGTATAGCCCTTCAGTCCCTATTCATGCTGGGACCTAAATTATTTCTCATACAATGAAGCATAATGACTTTGGAAGCCACTTATTGAAAACTGGTAAAGCCAAAAATAGCCAAGGATAAAAAATGCCAGTCAGAAACACTCATTTGAATTTTATTTTTATTCATTTATTTATTTTTCTTTAAAGCATGTGCTTTCACCAGACAGATAAAGAAGGTGGGAAAATGAGGGATGACCCCCACCCCCAGGGGTGGCCATGATACAGTCCCTTCTCCTCCATTCTTCTCTAAGGAGTTTGGGCATGCATGTCCACACTCTAGGCAGGTTTTCCAAGCTGCCAGGTTTGGTACTCTAACTGCTCAGTGGCCAAGTGGAATCTGTTTCCCTAACCACCATATCACTGGCTGGCCCTTCGTTTGAATTTTAAATGAGCAATAAATAAACTTCTTTCATGTAAGATCCACTTTTTTATTTTTTTAATTTTATTTTAATTTATATATTAAATCACATATGTCACTTTGCTTATAAAGTGAATATTCCAACATGAATACATTTCCCACCAGTCCAGTGGAGGATACCATACATGCCATCATCAACAGATAATAACCCATTTATCTGTCCCACAAATGTCTTGCCTCTCTACTTTTTTCCATAATGTCTTTCCTCAGGCTCTCGTCTTTCTCCCACCCTCTTCCCATACCTTATTTGGTATCTATAACCATTTTGTATGTTTCTATATCCTCTAGTCACTCAGTTTTGGCCATAGAGTGCAGACAATCAGTATATATATATATTTTCTTTCATTTATTTATTTTTACATTTTTCCACAAACATTTACTTTACATAGCCAAAAACTTTAGCTCATACTCCATAGTTCTTGACAGTTTACAAACAACTTTCAAAATTTCAAAATACTGAATTTTAAAGATAATTTTCAAAATATTTCTTATAATTTTGTATAATTTTACAGAAGCAGTATGGTTTCAAATATATATATGTGGTTTTTTTTAGAGTGCAGACACTCGGTATATATTAAGTGGGGACATATGTATATATTAAGTGGGGACATACAATGTCTCTCCTTAATAGCCTGGCTTGCTTCACTCAGCAATAAATCTTCCATATTCATCCATTTTCTGTCAAAAGCCAGGATCTTGTTGTTTTTTATGGTAGTATTCCATAGAGTATATGTGCCACACGTTTTCAATCCATTCATCTGTTCGTGGACATTTGGGTTGGTTCCATGTCTTAGCAATTGCGAATAATGCTGGAATAAACATCAATGTGCAAGCACTTTTCTGACTAAGTATTTTTCTGTTCTTTCAGTAGATACCAAGGAATGAGATTGTTGAATCATATGATAGATCTATTTGTAGATCCACTTTTTTAAAAGGGAAATTATGAGGAATTGAATAGTGTGACAAATTGAACCCAATATTTACAATTTGATAAATGTATTAAGAAAAACACTCTATGAATGACTATATCAACAAGAAATTTAGTACTTTCCCTTCAAAGATCTAATTTTTAAATAGTAGGAAGATATTAAGGAAACAATTTTATAGAGAATGAGCATTTACCAGAAAATAAGAGAATAAAAAGTTAAAGTCAGTTAGTAAATTTACTCCATTCATGGTAAGCATAATTATTTTTCTGTTAGCTTGTAGAAAAACCCACATAGCAGCAATAATATAAAACCTAAGCAGTAGGAAGCAGAATAAAGTTTATTTAATATAAAGCTTTACCAGACCTTGAATTAAGTGGGCATAACGCGGGGGGGGGGTGGAGGGTGTGGAATTAGCAAGAAAAATCCATAATATAATAACAACATTCATTTTAAGAGCAGTGAGAAAAGAAATGTATAAATACAGTTAAAGAAAGTTGTATCCAGGCCAAATTAAAAACCTCTTTAAAGTCCTAGTATTTTTATTAAAGTAGGATTTTCATATCAATCAACATTTACATTGATTGTCAGTATCTTATTATATATGCAAATAAAAAGTTTTCATTGAACTGTAAAATATGGAGTATTAAAAACTTTCTTAGACTGGTTATCACTTTCTGAGATATTATAGAATTAAATTAAAAGTATTAATAGAAGAAATAGTCTTGAAAATATTATCTTCTGTTTCCATTATCCCCATGTCCATAGAGTCAATTCCCATCCCCAGTGGCTTTGTCATACTGGTCTTCCTGCCCATATTGTCTTCACTTGCAAATAAAAGTTTGCCTTCTTAGGCATATCACACAATGGGCCTTTAAAAAGTTGCCTAGAAATTGTACATATTGTATCCACCTGCACAAAGCCAGGCAGTTAGGTATACTCTAAGTTTTAAGGTGTCAGGGAGGTGCAACTCTACCATGTACTCAAGAGAAAGACCAAAATAACAATGAGCATAATAATAACAACTGCAATCTTCAATCTTCTTTGAACCTGCTTGTTCTTCATCTAAGCAATTAAATCTCTTAAAAGAATGTAAAACAACTTTATGTAAATTAATATTATAATATAAGCACTCTTTTGTGAAGGTCTTTGTCTTTTATCTTCTTGCCTGACAACGTTCTAGGGTTTATGGATTCTAACGTGAAACTCACATTAGACCATGCTTATCTAATAAATTTTAAAAATGAATTTATTTTCTGAAGTCAAAAGTGCACTGAAGATAACCTCTTCCATAATACTCCTTCCTGGAAATAAAGCATGCATGTCCTTAAGATCATTGCTAAAATGTTGACAACCTGTTCTTAAAATTTGCTACTTTGTCCAATTGTGATTCTACCTTTTTATTTTTCATTAAGGTTTTTTCTCTTTGAAACACAGCACTTCACAAGTGCTTTGCTACTCCTATCAGAGTTCAGTACAGGAAACAAACAACTCCAAGTATTTTGGTATTTTACCAGGAAGAGATTAAACACTGATAACTAGATGCTTGATAAATCTTTTTTATTTCCTATTCATCCTTAAAGACTTAGTCTAATCTTACTGCATTAGAAACATTTACATTGATTGTCAGTATCTTATTATATATGCTTCAAAAATGGCTAATATGGGCCAGCCAATGATGCAGCAACCACACAATGCTGGACCCATTTGGGAAGATCCTGGGTTCACTCTCTGAGACTCTTAGACATGGTGGGAACTTGTATACATGCCTATGATACGGACTGGCGGAGGCTGGATGTATCATGGCATGAGGGTTCCGCTGGGGTGGCCTCTCCTCTCTCTCTCTCTCTCTCTCTCTCTCTCTCTTCTCTCATGAAAGAAATAAACAATGTTTTAAAATGCCCTATGCTATGTACCTATGCTAATAATTATCATAGCTGGTGACATTACTTTATTCAATAATTTAATCAATGGATATTTGTTCAGCCACTACTAATTACCAGACACTTTTCCATTCACTGCTGATATCATAGGAAGCAAGAAAACTCCCTCCCATAAGATTTTTAACTGAGCTAGAAAATCCCAGAAGAGAAAATTTGAGGTAACATGATGATATTGTTATAGATATGGTGAATTATATATCACTGGGACATCTGAGTAGAGATAGCCAGACAAAACTTGGCTAAGAGAGTCTCCCATTCGGGCAGACTGATAGACACACTAGTGGTTACCATAGAAAGAATATTTGAGGACCAGCAGTTAGCGTAATGGCTATGTTGCTGGACTCCCATGTAGTGGACCGCGGTTTGCGTTCCAGACCCTGGGTGGCTTAAAACTCGCGCCGAGTGCCAGTGTGTGCGTGCCCAAGATCCCAAGAGGAGAATGGAGGAGAAGGGATTGCAGCGTGGCCATCTCCCCTGGGGGGTGATTTGTCGCTTTCTGTCTCTCTGTCTCTCTGTGTGGCGAGTGCACGC